ACCTGTCCTAAATCAAGTGAATTGGACTTCCTGAGGGTCCTTCCTCAGGATGATTCTTCAAGAAACAATAGTATCCTGGAAACATTATTTGCACAGAAATTGGGTTCTAGTTCAGCTGACAGTTAACTAGTTGTGACGCAAGGCAAGTCATTTAACCATCCTGAATCTATGTCTTCTCCTATAAAGCAAAGGTGTTGGACTTCAGATAATCTTTAAGGTTCCTTCAAATTCTCAAGGTTTCAGAAGTAAGTCAAGCTCCACGTCTCCCAGCATTACTGTCTGTCAGCATTCCTGATGCTTTTACAACATATGTTCAAGAAGCAGTAACTGAGTCTGAACCACCATATTCCACTGGTTACTTAAATGAGTGAACAGGATATTGGAATCTGAAGTTATAAAACTAGTCAGTAATAATAATGCTAAACTGTACTTACTGTGTGCCAGGCTCTAAGCACTCGATATATATTAACTCACTGAGGAAACAAAGAAGACAATAGAAGGTAGTCTGAGAGCCCCAAAACCAGTAAATTATGTAAGAGAAGGCAATGTTGAATATTACATTGTAACTAGTATTAAAACTTTGGCGATATTTAGTAATAAACCACAACCATAAAATGATCAATGGGAATGAACCACAATATAAGTTAATTAATGACTTTGCCTGAAATTTGCAAACATTTTCAATCCAGTGGAGAAAATCAGTTAAACACTATTGAGAATTCTGCAGCATTTAACACATACATGTGTTTTCTCCAAGAATATAAGCAAACATGAATGTTGATATTGACTAAATCCTTCATGAACCATGATTTTCAGCAGTTCACCTCTAAAGTAAGGGCTTATTTACAAAACATGTCAAGCAGGTTACAGAATGAAAAATTATTCCTCAGTCTGTATGACACATATCAGACCCAGTGGACTAAAGAAAACAGGAACTCAACTGGAGTTTTTTCCTTTAAATCCCTGGTAGAGCCGCTACCAACAGATGTTCCTATGCTCTGAAAATTATACGTTAAAAGGTTACAAAACAGCAAGATCTCCCTTGTAATTTAAATAGATTCTCTGTATTTACTGGAAAACTGCCATAAATTTATCATCAGTCTGGGTTTTCAACCCAGTACCAAAGCATAAGACACAGGAATTTGTTCTGTTTTCCATTTGGAGAGGATGATTCAATGAAATGATGATATAATGAAGCACTGACTGGCCTACTCCCAAGGCCAACACATGGACTGGGCACGTGTCAGAAAGACTGGATTAAAATTATATTAAATAAATGCCACTCCTCCTTCAACTATAATCACAAACTCAATTAATCCTTTTCAGAATGAAAACACAGACTCCAGAAGGTTAAGGCTAAAAGATGAATAGAGATACGAAAACTGAGCTCTAGAGAGGCTCAGTCAAAAAGCCAATTCAGGAGAGACAGAATTCGAATGCTCTGCCCCTAACCTGTAGTTTAATACTTAGAGGTTTCAACACAAAACAATTTTTCAGAGAAGAAGAAAGAAAAGAAGAAATCAACTTCTTTCCTTTATCTTTTCATCCATTGGTACACAAGTACTTTTTAGGCCAGTGGCCCGCCACCTGTTTTTACATAGCCCAAGAAAAAACCTAAGAGTAGATTTTACATTTTTAAATGAGTAGAAAAAATTATTATAAACAAGAATATTTCCTGACATGTATGAACACTACATGAAATTCCCATTTCAATGTCTATAAATAAAGTTTTACTGAAGCACAGTCACACTCATTCGTTTACACAGTATGGCTGCTTTCACATTGTAAAACCAAAGTGGAATGGCTGTGACAAGACTATTCCACAAAGCCTAAAATATTCACTGTCTGTCCCTTACAAAAAAAGTTTGCAGACCTTTGTTCTTTCCTGACCCAGTGAAAGCCTACACAATGAATACAGTGTAAGAAGAGTTAAATGGGAAAAGAAAGAATGGAACATGGGGAAAATTTAAGTGTGTGCCCATGTTTATCTTTTCAATTCACAGCAAATAAGGCAAGTTTGGCAGCACAACAGGGAGGAGAGATAAGTGGTCAGATTTCACATTAATAAAATGTGGTATATGTATACCATGGAGTACTATTCAGCTTTAAGAAACAATGGTGATATAGCACCTCTTGTATACTCCTGGATAGAGCTGGAACGCATTCTACTAAGTGAGGTATCCCAAGAATGGAAAGACAAGCACCACATGTACTCACCATCAAATTGGTATTAACCGATCAACACATAAATGCACATATAAGAATAACATCTATTGGATGTTGGGGGGGGGGAGGGGGGAAGAGGGAGGAGGGGATGGGTATATGCATACACAAAGAGTGCAATGCACACCACCCGAAGGATGGACATATTTGAAACTCGGACTTGGGGGGGGGGCAAGGGCAACATCTGTACCCCCATAATATGCTGAAATAAAAAAAAATATATATATAACTGCTGTGAACACAAAACCTTCCACTATTTAGACCTGAAAATCTTCAAGAAGCGACATTCCCATTGACATGCTTTCTCCAACTATGCAAGGTGGAAGGAGACACAAAGCATAAGGCACAGATATCTTCCAGCAAGAGACAGACTACTTGGTTCCGAGGCTCCTTAAAACATCTCCACCAATCATAGAGCCTGGGTTAAGAGTCAAGGAGGGGCCGGGCGCGGTGGCTCACGACTGTAATCCTAGCACTCTGGGAGGCCAAGGCGGGCAGATCGTTTGAGCTCAGGAGTTCAAAACCAGCCCGAGCAAGAGCGAGACCCCGTCTCTACTAAAAATACAAAGAAATTAATTGGACAACTAAAACTATATAGAAAAAATTAGCCGGGCATGGTGTCGCATGCCTGTAGTCCCAGCTACTCGGGAGGCTGAGGCAGAAGGACTGCTTGAGCCCAGGAGTTTGAGGTTGCTGTGAGCTAGGATGACACCATGGCACTCTAGCCCGGGCAACACAGTGAGACTCTGTCTAAAAAAAAAAAAGAGTCAAGGAGGAATTTCCCTGTTGTGTAAGACCTAGGTTAGAAAATCAAACGCCAAACTCTCCTTCCAGCTGGGTTTGACCTTGAGCTAGTCATCTGACTCTCCATGGGTTTATTCTTTTATCTATAAAATGAGGCATGCTCACCATCCAGAGGAATATTCTCTCTCTCAACTCCTGAAACTAAAGGAAAAATGAGAAGAGGAAAGGGACTTGGGAGAGGAGGGACTTTTTAAAAAAATGGTAATTTTTTTCCTTCTTCACAATAGATAAGATACAATCAGGATAGAGATATCCCTCATCAGAAAGCAAAGGGTCTACAGCCAAGCACCATACTGGATTCAATGACACTAATCACACTACAATATTAAAATGGAGGACTAAGAAACAGAGGCATTTCAATTCAAGGATGTGAGTTTTTTCCTTCCCTTTCTGAAGGGCTTCTGGAAACAAAGACACATGTACCCATGCAGGGTGTGTTCTCTTTTCTTCCCCCAGGGCAACAGCAACATTTGTCTGAATAACGCCTGCTATACAAGTAGCCACCCGGGCATTAGTCATGAATAGTATCTGTACTAAGGGGTGGGTTAGAACAGTCAGCACCTTCTTACCATTGTAATCCAATAAAACTAGGCTTGTTTATCACTGTTCATACACTTGAAACAGCTTGGGTTAGTAACAGTTCTGTTTACCTACTGGGGTAATTTCAAGAAAAAGTACCACTTAGCTCTCTGAAGAGCAGAAACAGTACACTGTCAAGTCTAGCCAAGAGACACCAACTTTCAGAGGAGCAGTAGGAGTTATTCCAGTAATTTGATTGTCAGCTTTCTAAAGATTTTTCTTTGACCATGATGGAATCTAAAGTGTAGAGCACTGTTTCTCTCAACGAGTTCCCTTGTTTTACAAGTTAATAGCTTTAAAAAAGAAGAAAAGTAATTTCAAGACCCTGAAAAAAAAACCACTTTTAAATATCTAGTGAATATTAAATATAAAATTACTGTATGACCCAGCAATTCCACTAGGTATATAAAAACATACGTGCACATAAACTTGTACACAAATATTTACAGCAGTATTAATCACAATAGCCAAAAAGTGGAAACAATCCAAACGTACAACAAAATATGGTATATCCGTACGACATGTTTGGCAATAAAAAGAAATGAAACATTGATCAATGCTACAACATGGATGAACCTTGAAAACATTACTTATGCTCAGTGAAAGAACTCAGTCACAAAAGACCATATATTGTATGATTCCATTTATATGAGGTTCTAGACGGGGCAAATCCACAGAGACAGAAGGCAGATTAGTGACTGCTGGGAGCTGGGGGAGGGGAGAGTGGGGAATGGGGGATGCTAAGGGGTAGGGGGTTTCTTTCTGGGGTCATGATAATGTTCTAAAATTAGAACAGTTGTGACAGTTGCACGACTCTCTATATATGCTAAAAATCAGTAAACTATTTACTTTATTTCAATGGTGGATTTTACGGTATGTGAATTATATCCCAGTAAAGCTGTTATGAAAAAAAGCTTACTAAATGTCTTTTTTACTGCTAAAAATGACATACTTCATATTTTATATAGTTACTACTGAGCTATAAAGTAAAATATCTCATTTTTGCTGCTATCAGTTTCTATATAAAGAAAGAAGAGTTAGGTTTAATAAGGGTTTACAGATCCCTTTTTGTGGTAACTCTAATTTTGTGACACTTTAAGCTTGATGACAAATTTCAAAGTCTTGTGCTCATGGGGAAAATGTTTTTCATCATAATCTCCAAGGGATTCATGTAGGAGAGAGAGCTCATTCCAAAACTCTGTTTGTGGTGTACACTATTTACGAAAATTTAACTGCAACAACAGATGCACATTTATATTATATATCAATAGAACAAGAGAGAAGGGGAAAAAATACTATTCTGTCCCCCAAATCAAAAACAAGGCCATAAACCAGACACAGCAGACTAGGCTAAACACATACTGTACTCACACAGACTTACGGATGTCACTTACCGCCTGGGTCTTCAGGCTTTGCTTCATTGTAGGCGTAGCGGCTACACTCCCTACAGCCACCTCTTCAGAAACTGAACGCGCACTGGTATTACTCAGAAAATCCACTTCGTCTTCAGCTTTCGTGTCTGGCATTTCTGAAGTGAACAAGGGAGTTACAGAACGCATTTGAAAAAATTGATTCCTGTGACTATGTACACAACATGCTCCAGGTTTCATGTGTCTTGTTTGTTTTTGCTTTCGTGTTAAGTGGAAAAGTATTCTTTTGCTGTCACAAGCTGGTGTCATTTCTGACCCTGTGCTGAGCTAGTCCTCTATCACATGGTTGGGGGTTTCCCCTAGCCTTTGCGTGGGTTTGAAGCTAAGGGAAGATCCAATCAATGTCTACTGAGCGTCCATTTTCACAACTGACTTTTCATGACAAATCTATGAGTACGATGCTGACTTGCCTATGGAAAAGTAAACTCACAAGTTTTAAGGGAACAGACAGGCTAAAGCTACGTTGTCCATCTTGGTCACCATCAAAAAGGCAAGAGAGATTTGTACAAGAAAAAAAGGAAAACGCCGCTGAGAATGAGACAAAGCCTCTGGGACAAGTCTGACTCTCTGTAAAAACATACTACACACCCTGCTCCACCCATCACTGCGATTAGTAAGACTGAATTGTTCTAGCAAGTTATTACTTTTTGTTTTTAAATCTTATTTCTTCCAAAACCAAAACATAATCACAAACTAGCAATTGCTCGTCTTTATAGCAACTATAAAGACTAGCAATGTCTTTATATCTGTTTTCACTAGAATTACATAGTTGTCCTCATGCTGGCCATGTTCCACAGACAAAACATTGGTGTTTTTTTTTACTTGACCACCATATGGTCAAGCAAATACAGGAAGGAAGTGATAAAAATGATGTCTGAGGCAAATTTAGGCTTTGATACTTCTTTAAAGGGGACCGACGATTTAACAGTCAAAATTCACCTTAATAATGCAAATACAAATTAAACTGTCACCTCAATTTCACATGGACAGTTTTCTGTGGTTACTAGTGGTCACTACTCTGGCAGAGAAAAATGCTCCCCACACCAAAGAGCAGAGAAGTTTCTTTCACCAAAGAACAAATATTAAGATATTATTCTAGCAGCACATGTGACATGTACAAAAGTCTACCTTAGGTTTAGGAAAGTTACATTCGTATAAATGAATATTTATAAATCTCCCTTCTTTCTTTGTCCTTATATGATCTAAAAATGAGTAAACAAGCTTCCTTGCCCAGAGAACCAAAATTTGTCTTAAATTTGATAAAATGTAATCAAAGTTAAAAAAAATCTAACTAAATAATCCCCTTAGAACTATTCCTTGCCAAAACATTTCCAAGTGAGTCAGAATAATTTCTGGGGATAAAGGGGGCTGCTGATGGTTTTTATTTTATTCATTTGGGGATGTGATTTTTGGCACAACCTTATTACTTCCCTATACCTATCAACTGAAAATATGTATCTTGGCACAGCAAGGAGTCACACCGGTGAATAGTGATTACTGGGACTTGTGGAGTGCTGGCAACCTCTGGGGACTGGTGTAGCTCAGTCACACACCACCAATTTCCTAAACGCTGTGATCAATGCTGTTGATGGGTGAGGGGTCATCCCCTTCTTTTTAACTGGCTCCTTCCAAACCAGCAGTTAAACCTGTATCTCCTCACTCACACAACAGTATGGTTAAATCCATGAGTGGAATGTACAGTTGCTAAAAAAATATCCTTTGGCTCTGAGATCACATTCAGGTGCTTTTTCCCTAGGACAACGTGACCAGGGACTTTCCCTAGCCCTAGCTATTTTCTGAAGAAAGCCCCAATTTCTTCATCAGTGGCTACTTTTCTCTGTAGTGTGAGATCATGAACACTGAGCCTATTCTTAGTGCTTTTGGTAGCAGGAACAAGTAAGTAACTCGCCTACACAAAATGAGCCAACCTCCAAACTTATATACACTGTTGAAACTTCATACATGTTTCTTCCTTCTTAAAACGTTAACATTTTAAACATCATTTCTTAGCATATTTACTATATTTATGTACTAATAAAAATCAAAGACTGAAATTCTCCCTGGTTTTTACCTTTTCTCACAGAGCACTATAGAGTACCGTAACTCACACTTGCTTGGGTTAAATTCTGACCACTTAGCCAGAAGGAGAAATAATTCCAGCCCATGTGGCCAAGGACGCAGCACCCAAATGAAAAGAACATAACCAGGTATCAGCTTACAGCCACTCCCATTCTTCTGAAATGCCAACCTGCCAGGGCCCCCAAAATAGACTTGTTGATGTGCTTTATTTTAAAAATTAGAGACCTTCTCATTTAAATTCTCAGATAGCAGCCAACAAGTACGTATGAATAACAATCAAAAATCTTAATAAAACTAAAAATTCAAAGTCACCAAAAATTCTACCTCAGGTTCCTTAAACCCCCCAACTGGGAAAAAGAAAGAAGATTAGAGATGGCTAGAAGCCCTTCACCCCTTTACCGGTGAAAACCACCACTGTGTTTAAACTGCTCTTCTTCCTAAGCAAATTCTTTTGTTCTGTTTGTTCATTTCTCTCCATACCCCCACCCCCATCCTCTTGACATGTACTACACATAAAGGGATTTTCAAAAATTAGAAAGAACAGCAAAAATAATCAATTAAACAACAAAGACAAAAAAGAGGCTACTTCTTACCTATAAAAGTCTAGGTGTAAGCACGGAGATAGGTCCTCTGGACTATAGCTGGTAACAGGTGGTGGTATAAAAGTATACATCGAACTGACCTTTAAAGACTTCGAGAGCCAAGACTGTGTCCAACTCTAGCTTCAGCTTCAGCCTCAACCCCCAATAAGAAGTTTTATTCAGATAGTTTATTTCCACTGAGCAATGGTGGTTTCTATTTGCTGTCTCTGGACATGGTTACCCACAGATGGAACGGGCTGCTGTGAGCAATCTGCTCGGTGCAGCTGCTTCACCAAGATAAGCAGACACAAGGTCTGCCCTGTGACAGCAGCTCAGCAGACTGGGCTTGGGCGGAAATCCTGCATCCGATTCCCTGTGCTGTGCAGGGTCCTGAATTCCCAGACTGCTGCCCAAAAGCAACAGGCAACGCAACTGAAAGTCTGCTCCTCAGGCAGGAAAAGGAGGGAGCCCCCGCCGCCCGCCCCCCCCAAAAAAACCCAATGACCTAATACGATCATTTTGGATTTTGGGCCATCAGCTTAGAATGATACTTATAGCTGTTCATGAAACCACTCTGACTCTAAATTAGCTCAGGATACAGACTAGGATGATAGGGGAGGAAGGGAGTTTCAGGATTGTAAATAAAACACATCTTTTCAGCACTGTTTACTATGATGCTAGAGAAAAGGACTAAACCATGTGAACAAAAACATCTGCTAAATTCCTTCATCATTTTAGAGCACCTATGATCTGGGCATCGTCTTCCAGGTTTGGAAAGTTGCAACTGCTCCAGAGTGACAGAGCATTTACAGGCTTAAGCAACCAAGCCATGAGTTTACAATACAGGAAGCAAAATCTGACCAACCCTGAGATGACGTGCCTCTCCTGATGGTGGTGACTATTAACTTGGCAACTTACCCAATGAGCACAGGACCTCGAAACAATAAAGATGCCTATATTTTTACCAGCACGTTACAGACACTCTTAAGGGAATCTGCTTCTCAAGCTATTGATTTTGTATTCTGCTTTGCTTACCTGTTGCTGGCTCAGGCCCTTGAACAGGCAGAATATTCTTCTCTGGCTCCTCCCTTCCAGCAAAACATCCTTCAAGGTTCCCTGTGGATTCTTCACAAATACTGCCCACTGGCAAGCTCTCCCCAGGTGGAAAGGCATTCACTTTCTCCGTAGCAGCATTTCCTAGCCCTTCAGTCAGAGGGCCCGGCTCGGGACTGGGCAGTGATGGGTGACTGCTTTCCCCCTCCGTAAGCAGTGCTCCTGAGGCCTTGACTCGTTCGATGACGGCATCCACTATGCGGCTGGCAGCCTCCTCTATCAAGTCTTCTCCCTCAGGCAGATGTGCAGCTTGGGCAGAGACCATGCAAGGCAGAGAAGGAACACTCCTGTCCCTGCCTGGGGCCAAGGCTTGCACTGCTTCACTCGCACCAGCTGGGGCCTTATCATCGTGGGTTGAGAGCCCCGTGTCTGTGGCAACAGGCTGCAGAAGGACAGGATGTGCTTCCTTGTCCATTTGTGCTTCCTTAGAGTCGCCCCTGGTACAGCTGTGGTCTGTTCCCTGAAGCTTCCCTTTCTCCCAGTCAAGAGGTACCATCTCTGGGGTTGCAGCTCCCTGTGGGTCAGTCACACCTTTGTCTGGTAAAGCTCCTGGCAAACCCAGGATCACATTCTTCTCTTGGCTCAGTAAGACGTTTGGAATCAGGGTATCTTCGCTGTTGTGTGATACATTCTTTCTTCTGGGTCCGGCAGTACCTTGTAGAGCATGAGCCACCGCAACACCCACCATCACATTTCCACTCGCTTCACAGGCACTGGTTTTTCCCTGGGATTGAGGGTTCTTCATTCCAACATCCAGAGCAAAAGGTCGACTGTGATTCAGAGTCTCAGACCCATCTGGCAATAGAGGTGAGCTGTTCTGCTCTGCACGCAAAGTTTCCTGCCTTGAATCTGCAGCCAGACTTTCTCCTGGTGGCACCAGGCTCTGTGCAGCCCCACCTTCAGTCAGCAGTGAGACTTGTGGGGCCACTTCCTTGTTATGTTTAGTTTCTGCCTTAAGATAGACAGAGGGTGTATCCAGTGAATTGCTGTGCTGAAGTGCGTTGTCCTTGGCACAGGCAGCTGAGATAGGTTTTTCATGGAATCCTGGCGTCTCTTGTCCAAGAGGTGGTGTTCTCTGCTCTTCTTGCAATGTTCCCGAAGAAACAGTATCTTCCTTAATGGAGGAACAAGTCACTGCTTTATCTTTGTCCTGTTGTCCCTGAGCTGGCAAGCTTTCTGAAGGCACCATATTTTTTCCTTCCTCAGTCAAAACTGAATCAGAGGCCAAAGTGGCCCTGCCCATACTTAGTGGAGAAGAGTCAGTATCCCCCTTGATGTTGAGAACTTCAGGGGTTGCTGAGGGGCTGGGAGCCTCATGCTCTCCACCATGTCCTGTGGGACTGGTATTCCCCATGCTGAAGTGAAGCTCCACAGCAGTGGGGGACACAGACTGGCCTGCTGCCTTGTCTTCTAGTGGCTGTTTACGGGGATCATTTGACTTTCCGTCCAAGCCATCTCCACAATCTGCAGCCGTATGTAGTTCAGGAGTTGCTGTTCCCTTTTCTTTCTGGGAGGGGACAAAAGAAAGTACGTCATCTTTGGTTACTGATTCACTGCCTGAAGTGTTTGCCAGAGAGAAAGTGCTGTCTGATATCAGTGCCTGGTCTGGCGCTAGTTCTTTCTCAGTTTTAGGGACAACTGGCTGTGGATGTGAAACTATTTCAAGTGTATTTGTTAAAGGCTTGTCTCGTTTCAGATCTTTTCCTTGGCCTCCTTTATCCAAAACTTTGAGAGGACAAAAATCTCCACATTCCTGGGTGTCTCTCACAGGGTCAGAGGTGACTGTGTTAGCCTGTGGGTCTTCACAGCAGGCGGCAGTGGGTGGATCCTGTGTGCTGGCCTGCCCTGCTGTGGTGCTTTCAGGCTGCCTAACTGCGCCGTTGCACTGCCTTGCACCCACCTCATCACTAGATGTCCCTGTGCTCTGCTGACATGCAGAGTCGGTGCCAAGTTTACCGTCTCCAGCTGTAGAACAGATGGGTGATTTGCTCTTTTGGTTTTGAGCATGAGATGACTTCGTTTCTGGTTTTTGGTTTGGCATTACATCTTTTTCTGGCCCAGGAAAGGTTAAATCTGACTTTGCCTCAGATACGCCTGCTAAGGGAGTACTGGGTTCTAATCCACCTAAAATCTTGTCTTTTGCAGCGGCTGGAATGACCAGAGAGTTCTGATCTACCAGAGCATCAGCGCTTTCTTCACAACTTCTTAAAGTTTCAGTTTCTGCTGTTTTTTCAACGGAGGTTTCTCTATTACTAAATGCAAGCAGAGACTCAGCAGGTTTGTTACCACCCAGGGAACCAGTGGCAGAGACACAGTTGGAAACAGTGGCTTTATCCGCAGGCTTGTTTGTGACCTGTACATCAGAGGCTCCAGCTGTGCTGATATTAGAGTTCTCAGACCTTTCCGTTGTCCTTTCCCCTACTTGAAGCACATTCTGGACAGTGGCATCTGGGTTCAGGAGACCATGTTCCATTTCCCCCGCAGTCTCTGGGGTACTGGCCTCTGTTGCTGTACTGCCTGCCAGTTCGCCTCCAGAGGAATGCTGGGCTGCACCTGGCTCCATGACCATGTCTCCCTGCAGCACACTGTCTCCACTGCTCAAAGACCCCTGGTCTGTGGCCATTCTAGAAGATTTTGTTCCAGTTTCTTCATTTCTGTTTCCACAGGATGAAAGGCCTTCCATGTCCTTTCCTCCACAGTCACGCATGCTCTGAAGGCAGCTGTCTCCCTCAGACACAGTTTCAGAGTCCACAGGTGTTTGCTCCACCGTATCCCCTTTTCTTTGCACAGCTTTATTTTTCTTCCTACAGGAACAGTCTGTATTCTCTTCCTCAAACATGCTTGACAAATCACAGCAACTTTCAATCTGCCCAACAGGACAACCATGGCAGCAGGGGGTGCTCTTGGTCTCTTCGGGAGAAGACAGCTGCTGGCCACCCGTGGGCTCAGATGCACAGGTAGGGAACTGGCCATCTGTCTCTGGGGCACTGAGTGGACTGGAAGGGTCCTGTGCTGTCATCATTAATGGTGTAAGATTATCCATCTGCTTGAGGTTTGTTTTCTAGGAAGAAATGAAAGATGATTTTAAAAAACTGTCCACGGGAAAAGATGTCACTGATACCTATAAGCAAAAATCCTGCTGGACAGAACTCAGTGCCATTCCAGCTCTTCTAAGGTCACATGATAAGCTGATCTAAAAAAAATACAAACAAATTTTCTCTTATTCCTGACATTACTACTTTCCTTTCTCTTATCTGTATATCCATTGGAATGTTAAAAATGGCTCAGAATATACAAAATGACCATTTTCTATGTTTTGAACTTATTTTAGAAAGTAGATTAAAATTGAGCCTCAAAAACCTTAATTTTAAAAAGCCCAGTGAATATTTTCAAATGAGCAGCTGAGAAAGATATTTTTGTAGGGTTTTTAGAGAGGCAGAGCCTACTTCTATCCTGCCTCATATTTACAAGTAAAAACAAATCCTAACCAGTCTGGTAAATTCTTTTCAATCACAAGGTGCAGGCAGATACTCCTCTGCCCTAAATACTTACTGAGGGGTTACATAGTATTCTTTAATCCCCAAAATATGCTCCACCCCATCTAACATAATCATTTTAGTTATGGGTTCAGAATTTCAGGAACAGTGGCATGGTATTAATAGATATTCATGGCCGGGCGCGGTGGCTCACGCCTGTAATCCTAGCACTCTTGGAGGTCGAGGCGGGCAGATTGTTTGAGCTCAGGAGTTCGAGACCAGCCCGAGCAAGAGCGAGACCCCGTCTCCATTAAAAATAGGAAGAAATTAGCTGGACAACTAAAAATATATATACAAAAAGTTAGCTAGGCATGGTGGCGCATGCCTGTAGTCCCAGCTACTCGGGAGGCTGAGGCAGTAGGATTACTTGCATTTACCTTTATGTCGAAATTTCAGGAATTCTTATAATAATACTATTTTCTCAACACATATTATAAAACTATTTTCAGAACATCCAGTTTGCTCTCCACTCATTGTCTAATCTACCGCAACGACCTCATGCATATCTGCTGCCATCCATCCTCTCATTCACGTACTCACTCGGTGAATGCGCTGAGCACTTCAAGGACTCCATCGTCAGACTGCTCCTACCTACTGACCAAGTCTATTGTAAAAGTCTGCACATGTAAGTGTAAAATGTGTTGGTTTGCTGAAGTCTTTCTATTAAAGAGTATAAGTAAAATGAACTTGTACTAAAAAGCTTCTGTCCTATGCTCAAGAGTATTCAAAATTTGCTTATTACCATTCCTGCTGAGAGTGTGACAATCTCCTAATATGAAAGTAGGTTCATTAAATTTAATGAAAGGTAAACATTATAGAACAGGGATCTGGAGAAAAAAGGTGTTGCCTGAAGAACTGAGAAGCTCATAACACATATGTGCTCCCACAGTTTTAATTTCTCATGTTTTCCTGCCAACAATTCCCACATCTTGCAGGTACCTTTGGCACCTGCAAACTGGTGTTTTCAAGTGGACTCTCCTTCACCTACTAAAATGAGCTGTAAGGGAAAAATCTGGTTTCCTGGCAGTCCATTCAGTGGAAAACAAGTTACTTGCTATGGAACAAACATGATTCCAAAAGGCAGAGGTGGGAACATCATAAAACCTTACTATGGAGTCTCTTGGCCTGCTGGTCTCGAAAATACTGCCTGCTCCCAAAGAAGCCTCCAGCATTGAGCTGACTCTAGATGACCTTAAACGAAATTATTGTTGAGCTGTTTCCAAATTAAATCAGCTCTGAAATAAACTGGGTGGAAAAATTATCTAAACTTAGCTTTTCAGATGTTACGGCCAAGTGAGATGTACCCATATGACGTTTATATTATCCATAATAAATGCTACCAGGGAGTCTGTAATGTTTTTACGTCTGGCAACAACTTTATCTTGAAGACTTGAGTGGATTATAAAATCTTTATTTTTTTAGTGATCTTTTTACCACAGAACTATCAATTTAAATATAGTAATGCTATCATCACTCACTAAAATAGCTGTAAAAAGGCTTTATTTCTGGGTAAATTTGGTTCTTGTTCTTTCACAACAATCTCATAAACCGTTTTGCTCATTTCATTTTATAAAGTTAAACTAAACACAGATTTCTTTTTATGCCAGGAAAATTCAGTTCTAGTTGCTGTATATTTCTGTATCTGTAATGTGTGTATATGAGGATCTTTCATTATTTCCCAAACCTGACAAAAACCAAGGAAAAAGTCTCTCAATCTCCTTATTGCTACAACCCTAATGCTAGTTCTGTATCTGTTAAGTGGTAACACCCAATACTGCTAATACTGCGTTACCAGTTTCACAATCTTTGGGGAGAACATTTTTATGTTCTAATTATATCAAGGTTTGTTGCAGGAGGGTGGGGACACCCACGTGAGCACACCCACTTAAAAATGGAGATTTCCTTTCTTACCATTAGTTGCTGTTGGATGTTCATAAGTTTAACAATATGTCCACTGCAACTGTCTCCAGGAAATGGGGGTTCATGATGTGATTCAGACTCAGAGGTTAATGTATAGATGTCCAACTCTCGATGATGCCTCACACAACAGTCTTCATAAGGTATTTCATAAGATAAACTACTCAAGGAGTCTGGTTCTCCAGCATTCTCTCTGCAAGCAAGCAATCTCTGGTCAATACATATATATTGCCTTCCAGGCATAGGCTTAACCCCCCAAGTGTTACGTAATTATTTCTAACTTGATTGCTCTTTGAGGCTTTGCAACAAACATTTGGTATATATACCTCCCCAGTGATCCAGGCACATAAATAATTGCTCCATGCTCCTCACAAGCGATCACAAATGGGTTGAATGAAAACTGCAGGGTTCCTCCTTAAGGATGTCCTTTTGATCAAGATAAAAGTCTGGGATCTTATAATAGTTAATATTATGCTAACAACCAAATAATGAGGAAGTGTAAGGAAGATGGTTTTAGCCTGGTTTTCAATAGAAGCAAGGCTTATTAAGAGTTGCTCTTAAAATAAGTTAAATCTCATGTTAACTGCAGAAGAACCAGTCATTCCAACTCTCAAATGGGTATTCCAACCTTTCTAACAACGGGTGGAAGAAACAACCTCAAAATTCTTGAAGTCAACTTTACAGAGAAAAACTACTACAATATCATATTATATAACACTTGTCAATATAATTATCAAATCCTATTCTGAATGAAGCACTTGGCTCCAAGAACCTCAAGTTAAATTTTTTTTAATTTAAAAAATGAACAATTTTGCTCTACTCAGATTATTATAAACATATGTCATATATAATACAAATAAATCCAATAAAGGTACAGGCATATAACAAAGCATGTCTGCGACAGGCCTCAAAATGTGAAATCTCTCTTTATGTGGTTCTCTCTCTAATGAACTTTCCACTATTATAAGCCAATTGATCTGAACAAGGCAAATGGATTTCTTCTCTAAAGGCCGCAGCACCTCCAATTCTACCCTTGCTCCTAGAAGGTACACCCATGCCCGTAATGCCTGCTGCAATACAATACATAGCCTGTGTTGTGCTGTTCGTACCAGAAGGAGTCTTGGTGCATAAGGTAAGCATGGATGAGGCACACAATGGTACACTTCACAGCCTCACATTCCTCAATTACTGTAATGGGCACACATTTAAAATGTTAAGCAGCCTCTCCTGCATTCAACACAAATATAAATTGCTGAAGCCCTCATCTTTGGCGTGGCTATCCTTTCTTATTAGTTTAACATATGGTATATATAGGCACAGAGCTGAAGATTTCTGGGTGCGAAACTCAGAACTTTATTCCCTGGCTATGTGATGTTAGACAAATTTCTTAACTGTTCTGGGCCTTAATTTCATAATCTGCAAATAGGGATATTGTAATCCAAGTACTGTTTTCAGAATTAGAGAAAAAGCACATGAAGAACTATGTCTATAGTATTTTGCATGGATAAGTCACACACTGATATTTTCCTCCTTCTATTCTTTCATTCATTTAAAAATAATTCTTCATTAATCACTCATCTTTCATTTTCTACTTTTATCAGAAAATCCTGTTTCCTCTGAAAGCTTTAAACACAGTAAAAACAATCCTCAAATGCCATTCTGATTAGATGCCTAGAAGCTCAAAGATCAGGCACAATAAGAGATTGTGCTTTCCAACAACCCTTTCCTCCTTATTTGGGATGTTCTTTATTTTTCCTTTCTTACAACATTAACATCTTTGAAACCCCTATATCATATTTATTATAATCCCACCTAAGCAAACAGTTGACTGATAAAGTATCTCTGAGATTCTAGAAGGATGGAGGAAGGTTATATTCGAGATCACTATGTTTTGAAATTAGGAAGAATTTTTTAAAGAATTAAGAAATAACAGACATGTTATCTATCCACTAAAAAGTATGAGAAAGATTACATCAGCTGTCTCTCCAGAGTTTTTCTACTAAATCATACCTGCCTGTCATTAACAATACACCTGAGAATAATTGGAATTTTTAAAGGTGAAAATATGTTATAGTGGAAAACCTATAAGATAATGGAAAATCATGCACTGGCTGATGATAACAAAGTCCTACTGCAATTTCCATACTCAATGAGTGGTTCTCCAGAAATTGCTTAACATAAGATTAGGAAATGCTATAGTAGATGTATTTACCAAGCTGCTCCACTCTGAGTAAAATGACCTCAAATAGAAAAGCACCTGTAAGATGGTCACTTAAAAGTTCAATGGAATGACTACAGAAGTCAGCTGTACCACCACATGAGGGGCAGACAACTTCTCTATAAATTCAGCTTTCAAGCTTGGGTTGACATCTTCACTAACTTGCTTAACTGTCTGGCAGACATCATTGGCTTATCTGCTTACTCTGGTCGTCACAATATAGTCATATTCCAATGACAACAACAACAAAAAAGACCTCTGAAAACAAAACCTGATTTATATACCACCATTCAGTGTGACTGAAATATAGCAAGCTTGAGAGGGGGCTGTATGCCAAGGCAGGGGCAATTAAAAAGTGATACAGTCCATTCTCAGCAAAATGGAGTGTTCCACCAATTTTGCCACTATTAATTCTCAGATTGTTCCGTTTCTAATAGCTAAACCTTGGGAAATTCCCTTCTCTAACCACAACCTATTTACCTTCTACCTCTCCCACGCTCTCTTTCCAGAGGAATGTGCTTTTGTCGTCACAATGACCTCCAGGTGCTAACTCTTCACTCTCCCAATTCACTGTTCCTGTGGATTTTGCTGTTTCCTAGTCCCTCTAGATACTAAAGACCAGTAGTTGCAATTATTTTTCCACTGGCTTCCATGAATATCTGTTGCTATTAACACTCTTCTAAACTCATTTCAACCTATAGGTCTGGGTAAACCCCACCATCCATCCAACCATTCATCAAGTATTTATGTGCCAGGCACTATTCAGTGTGTTGGTGATGCCAAAATCCCTGTCCTGTTGAACAGGTAGGCAACAGCAATCAAGATAAATAAGTAAAACACTCAGAAGAACCAAGTGCTATGGAGACAAAGCAGAAATGAAGGTTGCAATTTTAAACAGGGTAGCTCAAGAAGGCCTTATTAAGGTGACGGTTAAGCAAATACACTCTTGCTAGACACAAGCCAATCGCACTAGAGACTCCACCACCCTTCAATCTACCAGGAATCATTGCTTTAAAGCAATACAATGTCATTCTTTTGCTCAAAAGCTTTGCTCTGCAAAACAAAATTTTTGTTGTTCTTTTTGCATTAGGAGTGGAACACACACATACTTGTGCCTACATCACTTAGGCTTTCTCTTTTAAACTATTACACAAAGCATCCTATCTCTACTGTATAGGTATATAAAGCAGAGAGCAACAGAACTTCATAACCAAGGCCACCCAGCTAAAGCAGAGCCACAACTAAAGCTGACTCTTTCCACTTTACTCTGGTGCCTTCTTAGGCCATGCTACACCAGCAATTCTTCTGCCCGGTCATCAACATTCTCCACATTATGGCACTGATGTTCTTTTCCAGCCACACTTAATCTTCTTATACTCTATTTTGCAGCCAAACTGCAAATGTCCATTCCTGAAACACACCTCATCAGCCAGGGATGCCAGCCTATCCAAAATCCGCCCATCTTTTGGCCTGGCTTCCTGATCTCTTTCCGTTCTCTCTACTGATATAGGATCTTTTCTCCCCTCTGAATACACAAGGTCCTTATTATATTACTTTGTTGTGGCTTAAAAAAAACACAACGAACAAACAAAAAAACCTTTGGGCTATGTAATAGTTATTCATATACTTGTCTCCACCCCCTCACTAGAATACAAGTTCCTTCAGTGCAGGATGGTGTCTATTGGAGCCGCAATTTACTGAGGGTTTAAAATCCAAAGCTAGTACATAATACAAAATTAAGAGTATACAAAGAATTTCTCTTTATCAACATATTTTTGACAGAGTAACAGATGACATCCTGGCCTAACCTTTTTGGGCCAC